TCTTAGCACAAACATTGTATACAATTATGTTTTATATGCTAAATTTCGTGTTTGTTCAAATGTGTGCATACAATTCGACTATTATGTAATTTTTTGACCCAAAAGGGGCTCAAAATGTAATTTTAGCCATTTTCTTAAATATGCATGAACCAATGTTATGCAATCGTGGTACACAAATAACACACTATGTACCGACGATATAAAATATTACTATGCAAATGTGCAATCATTATGCGGGAAACATTTGATTGAAACTAATTATCACACACAATTAAATGTCAACATTAGAATTTATACAAACACGAATATATCATTAAAAGATAACATATTCCTTAAATTCGGCTTGAAACTTCCTAAGAAGAACGTTTCTGACGGAATGAATTACATTGGGGTTATAATATGGGCTAAATGTGACATTCATGCACATATTTCACTTAACATAGGTACAGATATAACACTGATTTCAAACATATGCGTATTGATTTTTTTTAAATATATGTACATTTAGCATCTAAGAAAATAATATGATAATGTTTGTCCAGATTTGGGTTAAATCTTTTGATATTTCCTAAAACAAAAATAAACTAATTGCATTCGCACATGCCACCATATATAAAACACAACAGATTACATACAGGCTGTAATAATAAGTTATTAAAAACTGTAGTAGATATTTTATTGCTACCAATATTTCTATGGTGAAATATATTATACATGCATATGCTTCTCTATAGTACTTATTCCGCAAACGATTGGCAGCCAAATGGAGACTTTCTTTATTTCATTATTCATCGTGGAAAAGATGCGGGCATAATAGTTGTGTTCGTAGAAATCATTACAGGGTGTGTGTAATCAGCTCATAAAAGTATTACAACATACCAATATGCTTACACGGCTTAAATTCGCTTTATATGGAAAGGATTTAAATGGTTTCAGCCCTGTGTTCACTGACGGACAGTTATTATCAGTTTTTTCCAATCTTTAGCAAGTATCACCACATGTGTACTTTTTATACTCATCAATTATATCACCTTAGACATGGTTCTCTTCCATCATCAATGATATCTTCGTACATTGATACGGTAGAGATGTAAATAGCGTTTATGACCCATGATTCGGGAGGAGATTGTATGTTGGATCAACTCCTTCCCAAATCCAAAATTACCTAAAAATATTATATGAATTATGCAAACTCCTTGTGGCAAAACAACTGACAATGTATAAACACGCTTTCATACAAGGGTAGCAGAATATGAGACATTTCTCATTTTGTGATACTTGTCCCACGAAGAACCAAATATAAAGGTACCAATCATTAAAAAAATAACTAATTAATTAATACATGCGGATACATTATAAGACATTGATAAATCACACTTAATTGGAAAGGGAAAATATTAAGGCAAACAAATATTATCAAATGAAAAAAAAATTGCTTGAGTTAAATTTTATGACAGATTACTAACACCGAATTAACAAAAAAATAAAGGGTCAATCTCGGAGACAGTACTCTTGAAATTATTTGGTTTTACAAAGTCACATGATTCACGTCAACCTATGTGATACAGTTGATAATAAACAGCATGTTCCTCGGTGAATTCGTGAAGGGCATGAAAATAGTCAAATAGATGCTTCACAGAAACATAAACTTAGCTATAGATAACACATAAAGTAGTTTTATTATTGTTTTATAAATGTAAATAATAAAATTAAACTCATTAAACACTCTGAAGACGTTTCAGCTTGCCAATATAAATTCGTACATGCCACCTGCAGCACCCCAAAGCATTAAATAGATTTAAAGATATTTAAGAGCTGAAATCAAACCAAGATAAAATTGAAACGTTATTTATTTTGATGATTAAAATGTATGGGGACATTACATGTGAATAAAATAGTATACTATTGCGCAATGTTGCCACGACACTTATTATGGATGGATTTTTCATTAAAAATATAGTATGTACTGTGCCTGCCTTAGCTTAAGTTTGAATAGTTGCATAGTTGAATGAGCAGATATATGAGCAACATTGATTTGATAACCCTGCTATTGTAACTTTGCTATCATTGTGATCTTCAACAACAGTTAACAGAATGTCATTGGTAGACCTTATTTTGTGACGCGACAATATTTCTTCAATCGACTTATATATTATGTTGATAATTACGTAGAATTTATATATCGCAGGACACTGTTCTTTTGCCATAATGTTGAGCTTAATTCATCGCAAAAACAAACTTAGTTTCCACGAAATGCACTCTGAATTTATGTAATGTATTATGCATCTACATTGTCAGTTTTGAAAGAACATGTATTTGCATGTTTAATAGATAAACATGTTAACTTTACTAAAACAAATTAATGATTTTGCCTAAACATCTTATGTGAGACCGGATTTTAAGAAGACATTATGTGCATGTCACTATCTGCGTTCGTACATACAGATAATAAGACGCTCTATGAATCGCTGGACACAATTCGCTACTCATGTAGTCACATTTATTAAACTTGTTTCGTAATTTGCATATGTTTCACGATTACCATATTCACTTAATAAATATGATATCGTTGGCCACTCATTATATATATATATATATATATCCACTACATATAGTTTATTACAGTGATGCCGTTATTTCCCTTGATTTAATGAAAAAATAATATTGCATGATGATAATATTGTTGGATTTAACACGATGTCTAATGTCAGTATATAAAAGGTACGTTCGTCATAACAAATTAACTCAGTGGGGTTCTTTTGTGGTAGAGCGATGCTATTGCTGTTTTCCTCATGTTTTATTAGCTTCGTGCTTTTTGAGTTTAAATAGTCCGCATATGAAAGAGAGAATCACGCTAGATACTCTCTTTATTTGTTAGACTATTTAAACTATTTACAGTGGCAATATACAACTTAGCACTACACAAACATTATAGAAATAACATTATGAAAACCAGTTTATTGTGCAATAATACAATATGTGTGAATGTAATCAGACAACTAGGTCAGGTATGAATTATCAATATAAAATATTTTCAATAAATTTAAATAATTTTGTTTCCAAACAGCGTGGACTAGTGGGCAAATATTCGACTGATTAAATAGAATAAGTGAATGATGAAATAAAAAAATGAATGAATGAATGAATTTGAAATTGTTGAAAAATAGTTGACAAAGAAACTTGTCACGCATCGCCCTGAATTTAGTCGTTAAAATTCTTTGATTTAATGACGTAAAACGGCCTATAATTTTCGACAATGCCACTCATATTAGTAATCTATAGTCTGAAGGTGAAGTAAAAAAAATGGCCACACATTTACCATTGTAAAAAACAGTCATTTTTAATATTTTAAAAAATATTTGTTTTTCATTCAAACGGTAAATTGAAATACAAATTTATTAAAGCATATATCAACGGTGAATGTTTTTGTAATTGAAGGCAAACTACGCCATAATTCACCTCCAACGCACTGAATTGATTTACTGTTTGTAAAGACTATAGGGAATAGAGTTTATTTGGTCTGGCCAGGAAGAGATAAATCACCTCACTGTGATCACGTGAATGTTTCAACACACGTTGTCATGACGTATGTGGAATCACTGACGTAGTCCTTGAAAACCATGCTGTTGTATAGAGACCTGCAGGCTATCCCATTATCCAAAGCTTAGACCCAATCTCCACAGGGTTATAATCATGCTAGTTTCAGGAAGGACAAGGCTTACTTCCTGGGGAAAATGGAGGTCACGGTCTTTACTTTGTGTTCGATATAATTTTGTAGACGAATACCATCCGTTCCGAACTGTTCATTATATTATACCTCCACACACGAAGACCAACCACACAATTACGCAGCCACCGTTAAAATGTTACTGAATTTGAATCGATCCGTGTACTGCCTGCGCGTTGTCACTCACATCACCACTTAACATCAATGTTACCGCTCTACATAGTAGTGTGAGCACATTACCCGAAAACAGCCGCTACCAACAGGATCACTATAATATTTATCACGTGTGCGTAGCTCATCGATCAGAGTAGGTTCATATAATTACAGATTGTCTGCAGTTAATCCATTTTTTGTCATTTTTATGCATAGCGATGGGAATTATTGGCAATATTCCCACAATATTCACTTTGCATCGAGACATTGCATTGATAACCTGAGAATAGCACTATACCTTGTCCAATTCCATCCAAATTCGCGAAATCGTTCGCTATTTTAAACTTTTTAACATACACACATACTTCAGTGGGCGAACATTAGCTTGCTTGGCCAACCAATTATTTCGCTTCAAAGTTGCATAGCATTTTCACCTCGAGCTCTTTCTATGTATCACACACACGCATAGATGGCGAGTGACTGTTGTACTGATTTCTTAACATCCAACCCTGCACTTCGAATCTTGCGGCATTTCACATTACAGCCTCCCACCAAATACGCAGTGAAGTCTTATATTACTATGTTAGTGTTTCCTCACGAAACATTGACTCCATCAAACTCTGGAATTAGACAAGGATTTACCATCTTCTATAGCATTTTCTTCTCTGACCTCAATAGCCTTACCATCCACGTTGGGATGGACTGTTATAGTTGGTCGACAACACTTCCTCAAAAAATGATAATACAATATCTCTACTGAGACAGTTATCAAGGAGACACCTGCACCGATCATAAGTATATAGAACACACCAGCAACACTTTGAATATCTATCTCATTTGTGGAACTTCTTATCATAGCCGCATCGTCCTCACACTCGCTTTCGATTTCCCAGGTCTTCTTGCGATATTTTTCTAGTTGACCATTCTCCCTCATCTCCAGAATACTAGAATGAAACGATAACAGTCATACACCTTCTCATGAATACGGTCGATATATATTTAGAAAGTAAGGAAGGAAGTCAGTAGAAGCATTACTTCGATGTTTAGTCGATGTGGATAATACTGTTTAAACAGGCACTGAGTCATTATAATGTTAGCTTATGAGTGTTTATCGTGCAAACATGGATAACTGAACAAATTATAACTGATATCTGGCTAAGAGAGTATATCTAGCAGTCGGAAACCCTATATATACCGGTGATCTACGATGATGCATCTAAGCTTAATAGAGTGAGAATAAGCCCCGTAAATTAAAGCAAACAAAATGGCATACAACATCAATTCGTCGTTGAGGTAATTTCTTTTAACGTCATCATTTGTCGTTTTCTAGAGGAGTGTAAAGTGTAAAGATTAAGTGAGATATAACCTATATAAACTATTACTAGCTAAATTGTTTGTATAGGTTTCCAGGGTTTTCTTAAACACTATAACTAGTACGTAATGCCGAATGAGTACGCACTAAATATGTGGAGGGGAGTTTATGACGCACAGGGGAAATAATGAATATTGAAGTATGTATGAGCATAAATGAATTAATGTTAAACCAATAATAAGGTCAACCCACTCTTTTGAATAAAATAATATACTTTAACAGTGATGTCAGTCACGATAATGAACAGACAAATACGACACTGTTGACAAATCAGTCACACATCACCTGAATATAGAAAGGTATTCATACCTCATGGATATATCATCTCTCCAATCCGCTCCTTGTGGAGTTACAAAACCGTATCCCTTTTCATAGAAAGGCTTTCCCACAGTCATAAGATCGCAATCGATTCTTTTTTGTAACTCCAACACGGGATAATCCCACATGAAGGCATACTCCTCCCCTTTCGCTCTACGATATGCGTCCGTGACAGTGTCTACGTATGGATCAACCTCTGTCGTATTCATGAACTGCCACATTCGCTGTCATAACGTTTGGAAAAATTGACATTAACATGTGTTTACTAGATGTGTCATTGTGTGTGGATGTTTTCCTATGATTTCAGTGGTAGGTCAGTAAAAGAGACGGACTATAATTGGGATTATAGTGGGAAAAACAACTCATGAATCGAGACGATACATAAAATAATCAGTAAATACCTTGATCAGTAAATACCAGTTTCTCGAGAAGTTGTCATTGACGAATGTTTTTCAACATTTTGGTAATACTGAGCTCGCCTTTCAAATAAATACACTGAGATCAATTTCCTTTGATTCATATGAAATATCACAGTATCTACTTAATAGAAGACTATGTAAGTGTTCTTACCTGATAAGGATTTATTGTGGATCTTTTAAAAAATGAGACTACACTACTGTCTCGGATGGTACCGTATTTGATTTTAGATTGCGTTGATAATTCCTCCACAGACGATATAGGCGTTTCCATCCTGCTCACTGTCAGAAATGCTGTCAAATTAGCTGTGTACGTAGCTATGATTATTAAAGTGAAAAACCACCAGAAACCGCTCAGTAATCTCCCGGAGATAGAGTAGGGAGCAGTATCACCACCTGTGAGAGATTAAAAAGACCGAAACAGTTATTACATTTGCTGATAGGTTTCTTGCAAAATCATCCTTACTTTTAGTTGTACACATAAATTGCTTTGATAAGTTCGCATTTTGCTGATATAATACCAGCATTTAAATCATACAAGTGGTCTGTTTTCACCAACCTTGGTTCATAAGGGATGCCAATGCAAACCAGTAGCTGTTCTTCAAGTTAAAGTCATCGCCTTTACATTCACAATATTCTTTTTTAGAGTAATTGAACGAGCTATATGGACTAAGCCTGGCTATGACGAACAGGAATATTCCCACTACAAACAAGGCCGCTGCTATACATCCCCACACCGGACCGCTTAATGGCTCCATAAAGGCGAAGATGCCTCGCTCGGTCCGGGGCTTACTGATAATAATTCCCAGGGCATACTGATAATACGGTTTAGTGAAATCAACAACTTCTTCTCGCTCAGCCATTATTGTTATTCCAGCTACTGCCATGTCTGCTTTCTACAATCGAATAAAAACAGTTAATACATAAATTTATTTTGCATGTTAATATACAAATTAATATATGCATATTAATATACAAATCCATATCTTTTGTTTCCTGGTCTAATTGGGCTTTACGTCATATAACACCTACCAAGAGTTGACCAACCAATCAGAATGCAGAACGGCATATAATCAAAGATAGTAAGGGAGTATCAAGTAAAATCCTTGTAATTTTATAAAATTTTATAAATTATTTTTAGGACTAATATATATCACATATGCCGCCGGTCACGATATTTTATTTTATGACTGACTTTATATTCCAGAATAGTTCCATACTCGGCCTTCATCCCAACACAGTATATACTTACCCCATATGCCACTTCTCCGACTAACCCATTCCATGTACCATTCACTTTAGCTCCGTATTTCAGATCAGGAACATCATATAGCACATACGTGAATTGTAACTTTCTAGAAATTTCGTCTAATATGTCTATGCAGAAACCTGTGTATTCATACACTCCTGGGCGGATCTCGGTTTTTCTAACAAAAGGCTCTTCCTGGTGGTCGTAAATATTAAAATTTAGATTTTTATTTCACGTTTCATTCGAAACAATAACGTCATATTTGTCAGATACACACAAACGTTTTCAGTAATTCATAATTTAAATACTGACAACATGGTTTATATTTGTCAATATTATTTTTCTCGCCTGATAACCTGAAGCCAATCGTGCAAATTTCTTTAATATCATGCTGCCAATAAAAACATACAATTAAAAGCACATTTGAATTTGATTCAAGGTAGAATGATACTCAAAAGTAAAAAATAGCGTCAGTTTCTTTGTTCCCACGTATGGGATATTTCAAGTTATAAGGAAATAAAAATATGGGTCACCGGAGTCGGCTCGGGGAAAATCAATATTGTACAAAATGGAATGACAATGACATGCTTTGTCTGTTTTAGGGCATTTTACCATTGTTTCCTATAGCAAGAGTATATCTCAATATCTCAACATTTTGTTTTTTGCAATATGGGGAAAAATAATATACAATATCTTACAATTGCTGTTGACATTTTTTAATGTTTTTTTAAATGACAAAACGTGTTTTTATTGCGGTCTATTGGAACTGACATTCCGATATGAGTTTTTCTCAAGCAAAAGATTGACAATGAATTTAAAAAAAAATTCACGTTTTGTTGACTAATATTAAAACAACTAATTATACACAGAAATTGACATGCGAAAAGTCATTGTTATATGCGCTGAAATATACGCAAAGGCACATAGGTGGACGTTTATTTGTAACAACCACACGCATGCGCAGGTGTTTCATTGCATATGGATAACACAAAACAATCATTGTGATGAAATGTTACAGTAGGGATTTAATTAAGGACACACTTTTTCCTGTTTTCAGTTTTGACAGCTGTTCCCAGCTTACACACACGAGCTTTGTTATAATTCAGATAAAATGAATATCCATAAAAGTTTATATTTTGGCACAAATAAACTATTCCAAACATTATGAATTGATTAATTCCTGTATGAGCATAGCCGCCAATCTTTTTAAAAAAAAGTTCAATTGATAATTTAGCTTGAAATAAAATGTTTGAAGGGTTGCCGCAAGTTGCAGTAGGTAATACGTTGAATGAATGCGTGTTGATTGAAAAATATTGTAAAATACAGGGAATGTATGCGAATCTCAAAAGAGTAATAGCTGAAACAAATACAATTGTATTACTATTACTATCATTCTATTACTATCTTACGTATGTTACGTGAAAGCGGCGTCGTGGGCGTTCTTGTAATATACGTGTTCGTTGTTGCTGGGTCTCAGGCATATAACACGCTGGATGTCCGTTCACTATCATGATAATACAGCCATATTTTTGACAAAACAGTGGATATTGGTGATTGCCATGGACGTGATACGCAGATAAAAAGATAATACATATGGTCTTGCAAAACCAAGTTTGCTTTGCTAAAACACTACTATGTGTGTGCGAAGACAACCGAATCACATTTACCAACGACTACTTACCTCTATAGTAACAATCTTCAAAGTCCTGTTCTGTAGAACTTTAAAAGTCGACTGAAATGGGGTGTGTGACATGTTCAGCCTGTTGACCGGGTCCCATATGCCAATCTAAAGTATAAAATAGCAATGTATATTTCGTTCATACTGTTACTTGCTACCATCGCAGTTACTGTATTACTTTATTTCATTTAACGATTTGAGCAAAAACCACGCTCCCATATTTTCCAAAAAATATTGTGATTATATGTGTGTGCGTGAAGACAATTAATTTGCCTCGTAGGTGTTCAGCTTTAATAGAAC